TCGACCCAATTTTCCGAAATGAGCGCAATAAATAATCGCCCAACACTACCAAAATAGATATTGTATTAGCATGAAGACTTAGTAACATAAATTTCATATTTCAACAAGTCCAAATATACAGTACTAGGTAACCAGTGCCCAGGCCCTAACACATCAAGATTGTTTAATTTGTGTATCAGTTTAACCATAACTTGTTACTAATAACATAAATACATATGTTTTTTTTTAAATTCCCTTAGTGACTCAATGTATTGCAATAAAGAACTACCTTATCATTTTTTTTGCAACATTTGGCGTGGTGGTAAAAATTCACTGTGCCATTGGCAAATTTTACTTTCATTATAGATTGCAAATATCAAGAGTTTCATATGTTTAATAGCAATGTTGATACACAACCAGTCTATATTTTGACTACAAGTATGGAATAATCAATTGTAAATATTGGCCTTGTATGTCCATAATTAAAAAAAATAATAATGCCTACCAAAATAAAAGAAATTTATGGTATTATCTTTTCGGTCATTCAGCAAATTTTAGGATTTTAAGTTATCTGATTTTTACTAGTTAGGTTAGGTTAGGTTAGGTTAACATTTCGATAAAGAACATTAAAATTTAAAATGGTATAACTTTTTTTTATGAATTTCTCAAAAAAGAGGATCACAGTTTTGGAATCACCATAACAATTTACAGTACACTAGAATTATGAAACCGAAAAAAACAGTATCTCCATCGGAATTTGTATTTATTTTTTATTATTTTAACAGAAAAAAATACCAACATTATGTAGGTGTTGGAAACTTCTAAATATTAATTCTCATAAATAAAGATGTTTCAGATTTCACAAATTTAACTAACACAATATTGATGCCTTTATTTTCACTTACAGGTGGAGATCCAGCTGACTATTCACCTTTCACCGAAAATGAAGAAATAATTATTGGTGTCATGGATGATGTGGAATTTTTCTGGTTACTGGGATGATTCTGGAAATGGCTACCTAACCTAACCTCTGAATTAGTTTCCAGACCTAGAACAAAAAAAATTGGAGACTAAGTAATTTCCCAGAATTATCTTTATTTTATCCTCGGAATTTGCTCACAGACCAGAAAAAATTGCAGTTTCTGGAATTTTGAGAAAATACTCATCGGAGAAATCTGAGCCAATTTCAATTCCAGGCCTTGGCGAGTTACGGCTAACGGAAATTGACTTCAGTTAAGTTTCCAAGATCCCTGACTCTAGCGCACTTAAATTGCAGATGACTTATGTGCACTAGCAGAAGGTGTATTCATTGACATGTAAGTTCTGTTTTTCTTTTGTTGTAATATTAAGCTTATTTTTACATTGTTTTTTTCTTCTATTTTTTAGATTTTGTAAATTCCTTCTTGATTCATTTCTATGTACAGAGTTGTCATCATGTTTTGTTATTTTGTTATATAAAATTAAATTTCATATATAACCAGATTGGCAATCTGTTATATTTCCCATCAGTTTAGAATAAATATATAGATATACAAAGAAATAATCATTTAACCATATCCTGTTTCATATTCATATGCTTTATTATTTATTTGGTGAATAAAGATGAAGCTCATCTTACAAAAACAATTTGACTACAGTATTTACAGGAATATACAGAAATATAATTTGACTGCAATACAAGGATACAATGAAAATTTGATTCATGTCTAGTTTGGTGTAAATTTCAAAATAGCATTTACAGAGCTTAGGTAATGTAAGTAAAGTCGGGTTTATTCTTGTAATGTAAGACAGGCAATGTTAAGCTATGGGTGGAATGATGACTCACTGCTGATAACTCCCTTAAACAAAACATAAGGATTGTTTCTTTGATTCTTCTCCAGAATTCATAAGCCACTTACTTTAGTGGCAAATAGGGTATGTTTTTCCTATAAGCTCAGGTGAAAATCCTTACAATATAGTATTTTCCATTGACAATGAGTTAATCCTAATACAGTACTGGCAGAAATAAAGTACTGTAATCTCATAATATATGACTTAATTAATATATTTATTTTTAATTTTACAATTTACATATATACATGGATATTGTGTTAATATATTTGTGAAATTTGTGGATGATTTTTCGTTTAAAATACTGTACTCTTGATCATCCATTTATTATAGCATATCCTGCTTTTAATAATGGCTATAATCTGACATTAGCATTAGCATTATATCCTTATCCTTATTATTAGTACAGTTAATAAAGAACATGAAGAAATTCAGAAATAATTTTGTATTAACATTGCAGACTGTATTCTGGATATTTTTAAACCATTTAATTATCATCTTGTTTTATGTATAACATTTTAAGTCTCTGATTAGTTGGTAGAATTTCATGAATATGCCTACTGTATATGGGTCTTCCTTTGCATTAATGTTGTGAGTTTTTGTCTCGTGGGCAAGTGTTGGCAAACCACCTATATGAAGCCTCTCTGGTGAGGAACCATAGATTTACATGTAATATTTTTCCTAATAAAAGACCATTTAAACAGCGGATACTTTTCTTCAACTGCTGTTTTAGTCTATGTTATTTACATATTGTATACATTTTTACTCCTGACACTGATAAAATGTTCATGTCTTGTTGTCGTTCTTAGGGTATTTATTGCATTACTAAAATCAGGTGGAGACAAGTAAAAAACATTATCTCGTGGTTTCATATCTCGTAGAAAACTGGTCCTTATACTTGTATAATATGGAGGTACAGATTTTTGGTACAAAGATAATTTCCTGTTTGTTATTTCCTGGTGATATTTTTCAAGATTTTATCCCAATTCATCTATACAGTGTGTTCATAACTGTCATAGCAAAATTATAATACCTAATACTGTACTTTGTTATATTCTGCTGACTTCATCCACAGAACAGGCCATAGTTCTTTTTTTTTACACTCACCCAACCCCAAGTTTGTGACAAATTTAATACTTTTTTGTTAAAGATTTAATAAAGATAAAGAAGAAAGGAACTGATACTGCACTCTATTCCTTCTTCTTATGGTTGTTACAGGCTTTATTTACCTATAGTCACTGTAAGTGATCGTGTTTCATACCCAGAATTGGCTTATAATAAAAAAATGGAAAATAAGGTGCACCTTAGCTTGAGATTCAAGTTTTCGTGCAGGCAAATCGTGCTGCACGAGAAAACGTTTCGTGTCACTGACACCGTTTTGTTGGTCACAGCGTACCAACCTCCCAGTCTTCCGCTAGCTGGTACACCTCACTACACTTAGGGTTGCCATATCTGAACATTCAAAAAAGAGGACGCTCCTGAAGACATCCCCCCACAGGCTAATATACAACACACATGGTATAGAAATCTTAAAAAAAAAATTATCTTTGCTTAAGGCTGAACATCTTTATTCCCTTAGCTGCAGTCTTCTTCCCCCACTGTGTGTGTGACTTTATGTGCCCATGCATACTTTTCTGTAGATCAGATCTTTTTCAGTTTTGGCTGATTGCTCTTTAGAAAGGTATAGAAGTCACTGCAAGATGTTTCTCGGAAGTTGTACTGTACATTCAGAATGCCTTTCATTGTTTCAACACTCAATTTGTTCCTTTCCTTTGTCCATTGACTTTGCATCAGTGAAAAAACTCTTTCTACATTTGCATTGTGAGATGATATAGCAAAGAAGAATAGTGCAATTCTTAGCAATTCTGAGTGGCATTCAATGTTCTTTGATTTTTCAAAGTATCTGGTCACTTTTTATGTGTTGGCAGATTACTAAATTCTTCATCACTCTTGTAATTTTAAACAAACTGCTTCAGGTTACTAACTTGGTCAAAGCACATCATCAACTTCTACCCCCTTATCAATCAAATATTTGACAGCTAAGTTGACAACACCGTACAGGCGTACAAGTGACTTATCAGCTGACGAAAACTGAACGAGATCTCTACGGTTTCCACCTTCCCTCTCTCTCTCGTCATTACAGTTTCATGTTTTTTCCGTGGAGAAAATGATGGAAGCTGAAATTCCGGACTTTTGAAGAATTTTAAAAATTCCTTCCGGATGAAGATTTCGAGACCTAAATGGAGGACATGTCCGGGAAAATACGGACGTATGGCAACCCTAACTACACTACGATGACGTAGTAACAACACCCGACGGTCGGGAACCACCATGGCCATTCTCGAATAATCGTAAAACTTTTCTTCCATCGTATTACGACCGCCGAGATACCACAGCATCGTGTACGCGACGGCAGTTCTTGCATTTGGCCCTTAATCGCTACCATGCCTGCCCTCGCTGCTCCGTTTATGGACACTTTTGATCGTGGTATGCTATACTACTTCACACTCAGCCGCTAAATTAAAAATCAAGGAAGGTGTTTGGCTTGCGCCACTGACCTGACTTGTATAACAGTCGTAGCCTGACTGCCGGGCTGCTGGATCACTCTCCCCGCCTGCCTACCAAACCTCCGCCTGTAGGAGTTGGCGCCAAACAAATGGCAAAGTGCTGTTACGCCAAACACTGGCTATTCATCCTGACATTCAGTTTACATCATATTAAATCCGTGGCATGTATTTTTACTAATGGCTCTGTTTACTCAAGCTTTGATCTGAGAAAGTTGAATTTGTAGATATGTCAGCATTTTTGGCATTTAAATGCTAAAAGACTGTTATCGCTTTAGGCCTTACGTAGAGGTAGTGGCGCCCGCAGGATTTTCCGGCAGGGTGTGCACTGTGCACCTCTAGACTTTACCATATAGACATTACTAATAGACGACAACTGTACAAAACAAAAAAGGTTTAATAACACATAAACGTGTCCAAGTGCCCCCCTCCCCTGCACTGGGACTAGGGGAACAGGAAAAAAGAGACATGCTACTGTCAAGCTAATGATATCAATCGGAAAATTGCTGTTATGAAATACAGGAAGCAGTGTCAGGATTTGATATTAATATAAGAGTATCACCGAGTTTGTGCTGCATATGGAACGTACCGGAAACTCCGCCCGCCAGAGCCACTATCAGAGATCTGTTACGTCATTTCCTGTGCTTTGTCTCCAGTAGTACGCCAGTAGAACGCCTCCCACTGAACAGCGCTCTACCGAAGACAAACAGTTGTACTTATTGTCGCAAGAATGCAAAGTGCTGTATTAGTGAGATATGAATAATGCAACACATGTCTACAAGGCTTAAATACAGGTCTTAAAGATTCTTATGTTTGTCTTAAAAGTAACTGGATATACTTTATGTCTCACAAGCATCTATAAATAACATGATATGTTTAAGAAGATGAACTCTAAAGTATCGATGTTAATGAGAATTGTTCACCTGATTAAAAATAAGCACATAATTTGCCCCAAAATATTACATTCAGTCGTCCTTGAAGAATTGGACATTCGATTGCAAAATACTATGGAAGGTCAGTTCATAATTTTGTTGTTATTATTAATTTTGACAAGAACACATTGACGAATTCTGATTTTATCATTCTTATTTTTGAGGGTTGAACCTATCTTTAAGTTTGCAATATTTCACGAAAACGAAACCTGTCCAACATGTAAATTTTAGGAGAGTTTATATGACACTGTGATACAATGACCTATTTTTATAATTTCGATTTAACAAGGATAATTTTCACTGTAAATAATTTGAAAAGCAATGGAAATGACAATGTACTCAATAATACTTATTAAAATATATTGATATTAGTTGTGATGTAATTAAGATTGCTAAGTCTAAAAAGATAGTAAAAAATAATACTAATAACATGAAGAGCCCCAACATGTTATCGTCTCTCCGGAAAAGATTTTTCTAGTCAGTCACTTAGGGTGAACATGATTTACATATGAATGGCGCCCTTCCTCTTACTGACAACATTAAAATATTCACACTTAAACTGCCAGAATTACAAACTCAAAACCAAATCGAAGTGAAGCAAAAAAATGGAAGGATTGAAAATGAACAAGACCTAAATTATGTTCGGTAGGTTTTCAAACATACACCATTTAGACGTTTAAATATAAGATGGCCAAAAAGTTTATGTCTCTAAAAAATGGAAATTCATAATGGAACTGTAATAATATGATTAAATAAATTTTCATTATATTTTTTCAGGTGAAAGATCCGACGTAAGCACCGTCGCTGTCTCTGTAAATCTCCTTCTTTGCGGATAGTATGGTAACAAGAATCTAGAGCCTCACTTTGTTCAGATGATATTCTCAACACTGTTGTCTTTTAACAAGATAGAAATCCATGTAATAATGCAAACATCGTTCGGGCTTACGTTTATGAGTTTAGGACAAATCACTTGACTGAACATGGTGGAAACAGACACTAAGAAGCACGATCTCCGCATTGAATAGTATTGGAATTCTTTGAGTAGGACTCTGTAAAGTTTGTAGTTTACCAAATAAATAAAGATTACAAGTTCTGCAGAATTTTATTGTCGCGACAGATGCTATGATAGAAACAGTGATGCTTGAGAATGTGTTTCGTAATATAGCGTACAGATTTAAGATTTGCAAACACATTTGATTATATTATTGAATTTTATGCTGTTGATAATTTTTTCCAACAAATTACAGATGGACCTTCGGAACTCAGATTTATTTATTTTTATTTTGTATTTATTTATTTTTTTTGGGGGAGGGGGTATTTTCCTAAATCTTTTGGTCTGAGAATTTTGAGTGAAAGGGGGTTATACTTCAAACAAATTTTTGTCTCTGCTTTGTTGATTTTGAAAAGCTTTTGATAAGCTAGAACAAGAAACTTATAGAGGTATTGGAGAAACAGGCATTATTGGAGGAGTTATTAGAATTCTAAAAAAAAAATATTTAATGGGAAGAGGAGGTTGCGGGTGAATTACCTGACCTCACACAATGTACACACAGTGGGCGACCTCACTTTACCTGGTGACATAATAACGGTAACCTCAAAAAATATGATTGTTGAGAGGTGACCTGACCACGAGATTTGAGGTTGACGAGTTCCATAACAAACAATTAAAATAATGAGTTATTTATTGTACAAAGGCAGAATATACTATACAGCAAACTCAGATCAAATAACAATGACCCCAAATGGATAAATAATAATTGAAAGAATATTAATGGACAAAGGGGGGGCTATAGGTAGGAGATTAAATCGTGGCGAAGTTTACCTCCGAGATGATTATAAAGTATTGGCCAGTAGGGTTAACACCGAGATAAGAAAAGCAAAGAGGAATAATGAACTGAAGGTAGCAAGGAAGGCGAAGTCAAACCCCAAGAGATTCTTTGAAATGTATCAAACTAAAACACGAGACAAGATTGGACCATTATAGTCAGATACCGTCAACGACGGAGAAATGAGCAATAATCTGAACAGATATTTTTCAACAGTTTTCACAGAAAATTTAAATATGTTACCTGAGGCACAGACTATATACAGAGATAGTGAAGAAATAGATTAAGAGAGATAGTAGTAACTAGTAAATAAATAGAGAAACTAAAGCCTAACAAGTCGCCATGTCCACGATGAGATATTTGCCAGAGTATTAAAGGAATGTAAAGAAGAACTTAGTCCTTAAAAAATGGGTGTGGTACCAGAATCCTGGAGGATAGCGAATGTGATACCGATTTTTAAGAAGGGAGATTGATCACTATCCTCTAACTACGGCCCAATCAGCTTAACATCAATTGTAGGCAAATTGCTGGAAGCAATAATTTCAAACTATATTCGAAATCACCTGGAGAAGGACAAGTTGACGAATAATTATATTGGAACAGTTATGTGATTACAGACTTTCTCCTAAAAGTTAGTGTTATATGTTAGTGCAAGGCATTAAGAGCAACCTAGACTACTTAAACTAATGGACGAAGAGACGTAAGGAAACAGAAACTGCAGACTAGGTCATTCATGACTAGCAGTTTTACGTAAAGCACCTCGATGGTTTTGTTTGTTTTATGCTAATAGCGGTAATAACAAGACAAACACTGTCGACTTCATTTTTTATATAATATAAATTTGGTTAACAGTTAAGAGTGTAATGGAGTTTTCATGTATTTTATTTCCATTTATTACTTTTAAACTGGGGACTGGACCGCGATGTGCGCCGAGTATACGAAGAACTGACTGAGGCACAACTGAAAAAAGCATCTAACGCATAAAGCGTTGCATTGTGGATGGTAAACAGGTCTCCAGGGATATACTCTATGTACGAACATACGAATCCGTAGATTGTGAAGATTTACTGAGTGTGCCTGTTTATATACACAGTGTTTCGTAAATACGTATCATAATGCCGGGGGGGGGGACGTATTCCTGAGACTTTCATAAAGATAAATTACTCCATGACCAAAGTGTCAATACCCCATACATTTGGAGTTATACCACAAAATTTGTTAGGGGAGGACTGCAACAAGTCAATGGACAAAAAGCAAAACAACAAACTCTATTTAAAGTAAGTGGTAACAAATGAGTGAGTCTACTGAAAATCTACATACAGTTATTCGAACATCTCATTAGATACGATTTGCAATGAATGTTCAGGCTGGGATTTTTGGTGACCACCTTAGTGGTCCACATCTGCTACCCCAGTGACTGACAGGTAAACATAGACATGTTTCCATGAGGACTATTTGCGAGTGATGGTTGAAGATGTGTCCATCAGGATACATCAACAACTGTAGTACACACACACACACACACGCAAAAAAACAACTATCTGATCACCTGGGTCCGGGTGTTTGGAAATGGACACAATGTACTGCAGTTTCGGTTTGGCTGTTATTTCTGATTGTGAATTGCACCTGATAATAACTTTTCTTGTGGGGTTACACTAAGAGCAAAGTGAATGCTACACAGGTCCCAACTCCCGGTTGACTCCCGGCAGTGCGCGCGGAGTAGCTCACTGGCAATTACTGAGATCGTCTATATAGACCTTCGCTGTTGAAGCGCAGTAATGAAATTATATCAACAACAAAATAAAATCTCTCATATTTTATATGTCGGAATAGTATATTACCAACCTTAATTTACGCTTAAGATCTTTGTTAACGCTCATAGGAGCGTTATTGGTTTGTTGCTGGAGAAATAAACCCTCAACGTTGACGCGTACCATATAATTCGGTCAAAACCTGTTAAAGAACATTTCTCATATAACAAATGCTGTTATCTCAGGACACATCATATGAATAATACAATCAATATACAGTACATAGCCTGTTAACATCTTAAATATAACTCGCATGTTATAACTATTGATACAGGAGACAATTGGTATAATATGATCAAATTGCAGTACACAAATATACTTATTAAAGTTATTTAGAGTTTCTTAGCAGATTCTAATACTTCACGATCACTCACGTTTTAGGGTCTAGTGGTCTGAACCAACGTGTTGTCTGTCCTGTAGAAATCAGTAGACTACCCTCCAGGGCAATCTCAGCCCGGAGGCGAGGGCCTTATGTTTTCGTATTGAAACACCTCAGCAGATTGGTCAGCAAATTCGTTGTCAACACTATATCTCTTATCTCATCTCATCCCCTCTCTCTCTCTCTCTCTCGCCTAGTTTATCTTATTATAGTTATCCCTCTCTTTCTCTCTCTTCTAGCTTATCTTACTGTGGCGGTAACACTCCCCCTGTCGGGCTTCGCACGAAATCACGGCATATTATTAGATTCACTCTCCCACCCCTTCCAACAGGCAGAGTTTCGTCACTGGGCGTATTAACACTGAGTCCTTTGTCTTCACTTTAACACTTCGCACCAGGCCATCTTTGCTCGGTAGAACTTCCAGTACTCTCCCTAGCATCCACTGACTCCTGGGAAGGGGTTGTCCAGAGAGGATCACGATATCCCCAGCGTGGAGATTACGGCGAGTTTTGAAGAACCTTTGTCGCTGACGTAACGTTGGGAGATATTCTTTTACCCACCTTTTCCAAAATTGGTCCGCAATGAATTGGGCATGCTTCCATCTTCGTCGGTACCCTTCTGTCATGGACCGATCGCCTCCGGTGGACAGTGTCTCCGGGTTCATTTGTAGTATGTGGAGCGGCGTTAGTGCTTCTAGATCCTTTGGGTCGTCAGACACCGGGGTGATGGGCCTTCCGTTGATGATCTCTTCTACGGCACAGAACACAGTGCTGAGGCGTTCATCGTCTAGTGTCTGGGTGCCCACCACTCCCTGGAGGACCTTCCTTACAGTGCGGATTTGTCGCTGCCACACTCCTCCCATGTGAGAGGCTGTCGGGGGGTTGAACTGCCATTCTATCTGTTTCTGTAGAAGGGCATTCCCGACCTTGTCACTGTTGTTCCAGCCGTTCACCGCCTCTCATAACTCTCGGTTAACTCCAATCATGTTGGTTCCCCTGTCAGACCGAACTCGCTTGGGAGGTCCCCTGCGGCAGGTGAATCTTGTTAGGGCATTGAGGAACGAGTCGGTGTCTAGTGAGGTGAGGACTTCTAGGTGTATGGCTCTGGTGGTCAGGCAGGTGAATAAGCATCCCCATCTCTTCGCCCGGGCTCGTCCTTGTTTAACCAAAAAAGAGCCGAAGCAATCAATTCCAGTGTAGGTGAACGGCCGGCCTCCTGGGCGCACTCGATCTTCTGGCAGGTCGGCTTGGCGTTGATGGGTAGGCCTCCAGTTGCTTCTTCGACAAGTCACACACGTCCGTATTGTGAGGTCGAGTAATTTTCGGCACTTAGGTATCCAGTACGTCTCACGTATTATGGCAAGAGTGTGTTCTCGTCCTGAGTGTCCAGCTCTAGTTGAGTGTACCTCTCTCACGATGAGCCCCGTGATCCTGTTGTCCCTTGGTAATAGTATGGGATTCTCCTGGTCTGGGTGGAGAGCGGCGTGCTTCAGTCGGCCACCTACTCTGATCATAACCGTCTGTGTCTAGATGAGGTTCCAGCCGCCTTATATCGCTACCTCTCACGGGTTGTCCCTGTAGTAACATTCCTAGTTCTCGAGGGAATCCTTTCCTTTGCATAAATCTTAAGACAGCAAATTTCGCCTCTTCCAATTCGCTGACCTGGAGCCGATTTTTTCGGTGATGTTTGTTCTTTCGCTTCCCAAGCCACCATTCTATAAACCTTCTAATCCACGCTACGTTCTTCAGAAGTCGATGCCACGATGAGTACCTGGCCCATAGCTTATCAAGGATACCCTCCCCCTGGTCAACGTTCGCCGTCAGCACCGTGGTTTCCTTCTTCACCTCTGGGTCTCCGTCTGTGAGGTCTGGAATCCTCAATGGACTCTTTGGCCAACTGTCTTCTTCCAAAAAGAGGAAAGCAGGTCCCCGAATCCACCTGCCCTCCTCGTTGAGCTCTGCTCCATGTAATCCACGACTAGCGTCGTCGGCCGGGTTCAGTGCCGACGTCACGTGGCGCCATTGTTCTACATTGGAGTCCTCGTGTATCGTTGCCACTCGATTGGCCACGAAAGACTGGAAGCGTCTTTCGGTGTTTCGTATGCATTGAAGGACTGCCGTACTGTCTGTCCAGAACACTGATCTGTCTATATGTAATTCAAGCTCTTGCCGTAGTTGTTTGTCTGCCTTAGCAGCCAGCACTGCCGCGCAGAGCTCAAGTCGAGGTATGGTCTGCTGTTTCAGAGGGGCTAGCTTGGCTTTGCCACACACGAAGGAAATATGGTGAGTTCCATCTTCACACGTGGTTCTCAGATACGATACAGCTCCATACGCTCGTTGGGAGGCGTCGCAGAAGTGATGTAGTTGCACGGTAGTCACTGGATTCATATCCTCTGGTCGGTAGCACCGTAGAACGTGAACTCGTGATAGGTGAGGTAGTTCATCCAGCCATCTTTGCCATGCGACCCTGTTTTGTTCAGTGATTTGTTCATCCCATCCAACACCTCGTCTACACTCATCTTGGAATATGATTTTGGCTCTTATGACACTCAGAGCGATGAGTCCCAGTGGGTCATATATGGAGCTGACCATACTCAGAAGGCCTCTTTTCGTCTCCGGTTTCTTAGTGTTGCCATTCTGACAAAGTGGTTGATCACGGCATAATCACGGAATCGCCACTCCAAGCGGTCCATTTATAGTCCAACCTAGCAAGGTGCGTATTGCAAACGGCTCTCCGTCTTTCCCGGTTCTTATTTCTAATGGTGCTAGTGCTTGTGGTACGTCTAGACCTATCAGGAGATCCACTCTTTTCGGTGCTTGGCGTAGCGCAGTACCTCGTAGGTGTTCCCACATGATGGCATCTTGGGTGTCTGCGACCAACGATTTCAGGGAAGACGGTAGATTCTCAACAATGATGACCTTGGGGATAATGATGGATCGGCTCTTTCTGACTCCTACGCTAGCCACTCTCACACTGATTTCTTCGGTGTTTACACTATTACTTTCTTTCATGATTGTGCCAATGGAGAGGGAAACTGGCCTTCCCTCTGCCTGCAGCCGGTAAGCTAGACTACGCGTACAATATGATCGGTTGCTGCCTGAATCCAAGAGAGCTCCGGTGACTACTGCTTCTTTCGCCTCTAGGTTCTTTTCTTCCACCCTGACTTTCACTATTGGAAGTGCGACTCTGCTGGAACTTTGTAGTCACAACTCGCAATCGTTGGGTTCTTCACGCCGATCATCAATTCCATTGTTGGTTATGGTTTCCCTGACCCATTTATGCGGATTTCTTTTCCCCATGGTGCTTGTACCGGCTTCGACCTTCCATGATTTAGCTCTACTAAATGCCGATTCCGGTGGTGGCATAATAGCTTTACGTTGACTCATTCTAGGTCGCTTGTGGTCAGGTGCTATGTCTATTTGGTAGGCGCCCCCTGTGGTAGCTCTCTTCACCCTTTGGAGGCTAGTCTGGTGTTCTCCCTTCTCAACTTCGCCCCGTTGCACCTTGTCATTGCTCGTCAGAGCTCCCGTGAAGTGCAGGAGCCTCGAGTGTACTCCAGAGCAGCCATCTATACCACATACCATCTTCTGGCTGCACTCTGTTATCCGGTGATTATGACCCAGGCAGGCATAGCAGTGACGTTGTTCCCTTACAAGGGAAGTTCGCTTTCCTGTGGACATGCTGAGGAATGTCCGACACATCTGAAGAAGGTGATCTCCACGGCATAGCGAGCAGCGTTCATCGTCCATTTCTCTGGTTGTCTTTATTCCTAATGTCACCAGACCCACAAGTCTCTTCCTCGACGAGGATTGACGTGAGTCTGCATAAATTTTGCTTGGTTCTTCCTGTCCTCGTCCCTTTGTGACCTCCTCCGCCTTGTCGACCATATCCATTGTGAATTCCAACATCCACTCGATCCCAGGAAGCTTTCCCCACTTCCTTTTGTGTTTATGCGCCTTATCCACGTAGTCGTCCCTCATCTTTCCCTTGAACCTCTCAGCTAACGTGCTTATTGATTCATACGTGTCAATCTGACGTAATTCTCCCAAGACCTTCAAGTTCCTCACGCAATTCCCCAGTTCGTCTGAGAACTGTTGGAGGCCCTTTGCGTCACTTAGTCTCACAGTTGGACCTCGCGGGGCCTTCTTTATTAGCTGGCAAACGTAAGTGTGCTTATTGCCGTGACGTTTCTCTAATATGTCCAAAGCTTCCTTGTACCCGGCATTGGGATCTTGAATTTGCAGATATCCCCGCAAAGCGTCCTTAGCGGGCCCAGCGTAGGCAGCGAGAAGTGTCTCTAATTTCAAGGTATCAGGTATCTGCGCCATCCCAACGTGTCGCTGAAAGACTCGCTTGAACTCCCAGTATTCACTACAAGTTCCTCCGCTGAACTTCGGCGTTGGCCTTTGGGAGAACCTCATATTCTCTAGCAGTTCTCTCACCCAAACCTCGGACCTCGGTGGGTCGTCCCTTTTGTCTTTCATCAAAGGTAGTGGTTTCGGCGAACTAGCTTGATGTTCGGAAGTACTTCCGCGCTCCCCCTGGTGAGATGTTCCCGGCTCTGCGGTTAAGGTGAGCGCCGGGAGTCCTCTTGGAGTATATAACGTTTCTTCGTTAGTTTCAATTACAGAGGAAAGTTTAGTCTCTGGTGGTGATAACACCTTTCCGCAATCTTCTGTGCTGCCCTTGCCTTGTAGTTGATTCATACCTTCGGTGACGTTTTGCATCATCGCTGTCATGTGAGCGAACATTTGCTGCATTTGTTGGTATTGCTCACATAATTGTCCTTCGATTCCTTTGACAGGTGGTTCCTTTCTCTTCTCGGGAGACAGGTTTACGGTAGACGGGTTTATCTCACGCTGCCTTGGCGAGGTGGGTGAGACATCGGTCTCTTTGTCCACAGTGTCTCCTTGTTCTACGCCGGACACGCTCCCCACTTCTGACTTATTCTCTTTCCCGTCCATGACTGCCCGAACAGCAAGCGTAATCTGTCTTGCTCGATAAGTGTATGCAGTAACGCTTAGTATCAGGTGCCCACGATCGCAGATATCACACAATTGGAATTGATGTCACACAGACGCGTGCCATGCGCACGAGTGATGTCACACACGAGCGAAGTCCCTCTAAACACGTGACGAGCAATGCGCACGAGTGATGTCACACGGTCCCTCAAACACGTGACGTGCAATATGCATGAGTGATGTCACACAAACACGACCACAGTGATGTCACACGGTCCCTCAAACACGTGACGTGCAATACGCACGAGTGATGTCACACAAACACGACCACAGTGATGTCACGCACGAGCGACGATGTCACACTAACATGGCCACAGTGATGTCACACACGAGCGATGTCCCTCAAACACGTGATGTGCAATACGCACGAGTGATGTCACACAAACACGACTACAGCGATGTCACACACCAGCTACGATGTCACACTAACACAACCACAGAGATCCACAATCAATGTAGGGACTCGTTACACAACTGATGTCACAAACACTACTGCGGCGCCCTTACTTGTACAACGTTACGGCTTGTCACAACCTTCGTTGTTATTTCTTAATTACACACACACATACTTATATATACATATATACATACATGTACATATAACCTGAATGTTGAACACACTTAACCCACAAATCCCTTTCATTTATGTACTTCTTCATGGTTCCTTATCATCATTGTTTGATATACTATGGTGTCACTGGTATAGGAAGATCAGCTGTTAGTTATAATCACTTGCGTGCGTGTCCGAGCGAACGCTAACTACCAGTCCGCCCAGACCAAACATTACGACACTGTCCGGGTGTTCTGAAACCTTAGCTCACTAGGTGCCGGCCTCCCTGTTCGGAAATGAACGCTCACAGCCCCGTACGCGCAGACCGAAGCTTTACGACACTGTCCAGGTATTTAAGACACTCAAACACAGAGCACTCGCTTTCACTGCCTCGCTGCTGACGACGCACGTGATCCACCCACTGTGGGTGGGTGGGTGATCCACCCACTGTGGGTGGGTGGGTGATCCACCCACTGTGGGTGGGTGGGTGATCCACCCACTATGGGTGGGTGGGCGATCGACGAGCCTATGCTGTCCCACGCTGAACTCCGGCGTTGGTCCTTCGACAGTCCTCCCGTATACGTTTTGACTGTTAACGCTCATAGGAGCGTTATTGGTTTGTTCCTGGAGAAATAAACCCTCAACGTTGACGCGTACCATATAATTCGGTCAAAACCTGTTAAAGAACATTTCTCATATAACAAATACTGTTATCTCAGGACACATCATATGAATAATACAATCAATATACAGTACATAGCCTGTTAACATCTTAAATATAACTCGCATGTTATAACTATTGATACAGGAGACAATTGGTATAATATGATCAAATTGCAGTACACAAATATACTTATTAAAGTTATTTAGAGTTTCTTAGCAGATTCTAATACTTCACGATCACTCACGTTTTAGGGTCTAGTGGTCTGATCCAACGTGTTGTCTGTCCTGTAGAAATCAGTAGACTACCCTCCAGGGCAATCTCAGCCCGGAGGCGAGGGCCATATGTTTTCGTATTGAAACACCTCAGCAGATTGGTCAGCAAATTCGTTGTCAACACTATATCTCTTATCTCATCTCATCCCCTCTCTCTCTCTCTCTCTCTCTCTCTCTCGCCTAGTTTATCTTATTATGGTTATCCCTCTCTTTCTCTCTCTTCTAGCTTATCTTACTGTGGCGGTAACAATCTTAGTTGTTGAAGTGCGGTAATAACATTATAACAACAAAAGGAAACTGAATCACTGTGAGAATGCTACATAGTAAAGTACAACACATAAATGTTACACACTGAAATGATTAAACCTTGGCCGTAAGAGACCGACCACGAACTAGAGAGCTGTATCTTTACTGGCAAACTGGTTATTGTTGGTGATTATCTTTTCTGGCCGTCGACAGCTTGGGTCAAAGGGTTATTACTGCCGTAGCACTTGTTAGTTTTATGTTCTTTTCCTCTTGATCTTCTCCCTTTATACATTCCACCGTTGTTCTTCCTAATCAAAGATATTTTGTTCTTGTTCACCAACTTGATCTTCGTAGAGGTCTATAAATGCTGTCAGGCCTAATGTTCTATGTTTCTTGTTGTTTTTCTTTCCTTCTGAGTAAGGGCCAATTGCAAGATCAGCCGTGGTAAACACCACGCTGTGGTATCCCGGCGGTCGTAATACAATGGAGTAAATTTTTTTGATTTTTCAAGATGGGCCATGGTGGTACCCGACCGTCGTTTGTTGTTACTACGTCATCGTAGTGTAGTCAGGAGTACCAACTAGCGGAAGACTTAGGGATTGGTATGCTTGCACCCTCAAAACGTTGTCAGTGGCACGAAACGTGTACTCTTGCTACACGATTTACGAGAATAAAAAACTTGAATCCTAAGCTAAGGTGCACCTCATTTTCCTTTTTTCTTGGATTATAAGCCAATTCTGGGAATGATATACGTTCATTTATAGTGAATATAGGTAAATAAAGCCTTTGACAACCATAAGAACGTAGGAATAGAGTGTAATACCTGTTCCTTTCTTCTTTATCCTTATTAAATCTAACAATAAAGTAATAAGTTTTTCATGAACTTGGGGTTGGGTGATTGTAAAAAAAAAGAACTATGGCCTGTTCAGTGGATAAAGTCAGTAGAATATAGCAAAGTACAGTATTAGGTATTATAATTTTGCTATAACAGTGTTGAACTCACTGTACAGATGAAATGGGATAAAATCTTGAAAAAATATCGCCATAACTGTTAGTTTTCTATCAAACAGGAAATTATCTTTGTAACAAAAATTTTTACTTTCATATTATACAAGTATAAAGGCCAGTTGTAATGATTGTTTGTCAGACCAAAGCTTACAGCCCAGAATTATGTCACATGTAACAGCAAGCACACTACAGACCTCGTGGCACCACCACATCCCGGGTTGACACACCTCAGGTCGACCCTAGGGACTTGACCTCGTCCGCTAATGACTTGAGTTAGCAGGGTGACCTACAACCGCACCTGACCAAGACACCTGGGCAGGACGACACCTGCACACAGCCGTCCAGACCTGACACTAGGGAACCAGAATTCTCACCACCACCCGATCAGCTCTACCCGGCGTCATGACCTTAGTAATTCAAGGACCCGCTAATTAGCCAGCACTCCTGTTGACCCAACAACCCGGTCAAGACACACCCAGTTCAGTAGGAGAGGTCACCCCCCGGCTCGACCAACATATAGGGGCTGGAGCTCCTCTCACGCAGAGAGTGTCTGTAACCAGGAAGGGCCAGCTACCAGGTCCCCGAGTCCCGCTCGAGAGAAGACCGCCACTAAGTGTAACGAAGTCTCAGCCCGGGTCCATCGACAAAGTGCTGTCAACTCCACGTGTAACAGTAAGTGCTGGCTGTGTAGTCTGTGGAAGTGCAGTGATCCCGAACCTCCCCAACGATCGGCTTAGTGAAGTGCCCATTCTAGCTGTGAGGTTAGGTTATACGAGAATACCATAGTCTATCATAAATTGTGTACGAACCCCCCTATTAATCCCCCCTATTGAACTAGTAAAATAAAGCTGTAACACGCATTGGTGTTTTATATACTACACTTGTACTGTGCCTGTGTTAATATACAGTGTTGACATCACACCCTCGAGACACGCTACCATTTCCTCTCGCTATAATACTCTACTACTATAAGCTCCTAACTTACCTCTTCATGTGAGATTTTGTCTCATTACACAGTTATCTACAAGATATGAAAACTTGAGATAATGTTTCCTACTTGTCCCCACCTGATTATAGTAATGCAATAAATACCCTTTCAAAAAAGAAAGACATGAACACTTTCCCAATGTCAGGAGTAAAAATGTATACAATATGCTAATGACATGGACTAAACCAGCAGCTGGAGAAAAGTATCTGCTGTTTAAATGGTCTTTTATTTGGAAAAATATTCCATGTAAATACTGTATATGGATCCTCACCAGAGAGTCTTCATATAGTTAGTGTGCAGACATTTGTTTACAAGGCATATACTCAACTATTATGGAAATGAAGACATGTTATGTTAGGTTAGATTAGGTAAATCTTGTGAGCAAATGTCATGGAACCCATATACAGTAGGTGTATTCATGAAATTCTACAAACTAATGTTAAACATTGAACAAGATGATAATTAAATGGTTTAAAAATATCCTCAATACAATCTGCAATGTTAATTGCAAATTAGTCCTGCATTTTTTAATGTTTAATATAAACTGTAATAATAATAAGGATAAGAATACAATGATAA